TTATATATATATATATATATATATATATATATATATATATATATATATATATAAAAGTCAAAGAGCAAAATGAAGGCTTCTGCACTCGACCCAAACTTTTGCCTGACAGAAAAGTCCTTAAAGAAAAAATAAATGCATAAACTATCCTGGAGTAAATCGTGCCACCAAATTTAAGTCCTTGATTAACATGTTTAGAGTTAATTTACATTTTTCAAATCAATTTAAGAGGTTTTAAAGATGCGCGGACACCCTGACAACATGACTTAAGTTCAATGAGGTTTTATGAAAACAATCCTCCAGAGAACCAGACGGTAAATCCAGACGGTAAGTCAGTTACCGGCTGCCGGACCGCCGGACTCGGCGGATGCTTCAGTCCGGACTCCATCTTGGATGGCGCTGCTCTCGGGCGTCTCTGGAGGCGCCTGAGCGGCTCGACTCGTCGATGGAGCTTCAGCGCCTGAGAAGAGACAAAAACTCCATCAGGATGTTTCTGCATTTCTACTAAAACCAAACAGAACCAAAGGCCGGTTCCGACAGACATGCAGAGAACGGATCGGCCATCCTGCTGGATGATTAACTGTCCCAGAAGTTATTGAGATCAAATATTGTTGTTTTGAGACCATTTTCAAGAAATAGTAATTGCTTAATAATGCAAGAACACATTCTCAAAGATCAATAAACTTTAAATAATGATGAGCATTTAAAACAGTAAGCCATTTTAAATATCCAAAATTAATAAAATAACAGAAACAACAAATAAAATAAATTATGAAACAAAATTGTCCTTCAAAAAAAAAAAGGATTAGTTCAGACCAAAGCAGCAAACTGAAGACTTTCATCATCTAGTTTTTGGCAGAAAGAGAAAAAAGAGAAAAACAATAAATCATGCAAATGAAAATTGAGCTACGCAATTGATTTATTGATTATTGTGACAGAATCAGTTTATCTGGATGATTGAACTAATCTGAAAACTAGAGATGAAGGCAGACGTGCCGGGCTGCTCTGACGGAGTAAAGAGGAAGAGTGGGTTCGTACTGGGGGGCTGCTGGGACGCGCCGGGCTCCGACAGCTCTCTCTCCGTCTGCGTCTCGGCGTTCTGCAGCTGGACGATCGGCGTCTGCGTTCCCTGTGATGTCACTGAGGGGGTGGGGTTTCTGGGCTGCAGACCGATGGCGTTCATCAGTCCCATGTCTCTGTCGAGCCTCCAGCCGGAGCGGTTCGGTCTGAGGAGAAAACAGAAGGAGGATTCACTCACTCACTCATTCATTCATTCATTCATTCATTCAGAGCTGCTTTTAAACCTCAGCCTGAATCTGTGCCATAAACTCGTCACACTTCAGGTTATTTCAAACTAATATATACTATATTGTCTCATTAATCCACAAACTTTACATTATTTTCTACGACAGAGTATTATGGCAAAACAGAGTAAAAATGAATCAAATAACCAGAATAAAGTCGCAATTAGCCTGCAATGAGCAATAAATCAATTAATCGTATGAAAAATAAAAACAAGTTCAATAATTTCCATTTGCATGATTTATTATTTTTCTCTCTTTCTCCAACACCGGGTGAAAAAGTCTTCAGTTTGGTGCTTCGGCCCTTTTTTCAGGACTTTTATCATCCAGTTTTTCATACAAAGAAAGAAAAAAACAATAAATCCTGCAAATGAAAATAATTTAATTTATTTATTGTGCAATTAACTGATTTATTGCTTATTGTGATAGGCCTTACACCCATCATCATTTAATACTTGGTATGTGTATTCTGGTTTATTTCTTTACATTTCTTACTATTTATTTTAAATTTTTCTTCTTTCTTTTGCATTCTATTGTTTATTAAAATCGCTGTAAATGTAACAGTTGTTTTATTCATCACACGTCTATTTGTCTTTTTCCATTAAGTGTTGTGATGTCATGACCGTTTTGTAAAATTTGCTTCTTTGGGAATCAATAAAAATGTAAGTCTATCCACATTCTGCAAATTATGAGAGAATTTACAACAATAATTGTGGTTGTAGTTTGTTTTCAGCTCATTTTGCGAAAATAAAATAATTTTCGTTTCCAGATAAAACATCCAGAATGACTGAAGCTCTCACCCTGGTCTGTCAGAACCTCGGGTCCGGCTGGTTCCGCTGTTGTTGACGGAGAACAGCGGTTCGCTGCTGGGCTCGGCAGGACTCTCACCGTCGCTTCTGTAGAACCTGAACACAAACGGACGGAAACGCGTCCCGGGTTAATGAGCGTCCAATCAGGAAGTCTGCAGCGTGGGGGAGGGAATCACTCGGTTCACAGCCTCGTTAGTGGATCCAAATGGGCTTTTCCACTTCAAGTTCTTCCTGTGAGGGCGTTCATTAGGATAACGAGGTTACATGGAGGAGAGGGGGAGGCGGAGTCATGATGCTTAAGTTTCCATCAGGATGATGGAGGTCAGAGCGAAGGATGAGCAGAAAGACACAAGAAACCGTCTGATAAATGAAACTGAAGATCTGGAGGGAGGGGGGGGAGAGAGAGAGAGAGACACACACAGAAAGTGAGAGACCTATAGAAAAAGAAAAAAGGAAAAAAAGAAGAAACAAGGGAAAAACTAAAAAGAGAAAAAAGAAAGAGAAAAAGGGAAAAAAAGGAAAAAAAATAAAGAGGGGAAAAGAAAAATATGAAAAAGAAAAACAACAAAACAGGAAACGGCCAAAAGGAAAGAGAAAAAGAAAGGAACATTTTACAAAAGAACGAGGGAGCAGAAGAGGAAAGAAAGAAACGGAAAAAATAAGGAATAATGAAGTAATGAAAGAACAGAGGAACGTATAAGGACAAAGGAGGAGGAGAGAGATCATCACAGAAGGGAACGTAGAGAGAAATGAAGGACAGATAGAAATAAAGGAAGACAGGAAAGAGTAAAGGATGCTAATGAAAAGAGGGACGGCTACAAATTTAGACGGCGAATAAAGAATTAAACCTGGAAATACTAATTTATATTTTCACTCTACTTTTTATCCCCCAACACATTTTGAAATCTGGGTTAAATTTAATCCCAAAGTGCTCCAGAAATATTCAGAACCTGGAACAAATTGAATATCATTCAGTTCTGAACGATTTTACAGACAAACCTGAGGATGCTAAACAATAATCAGATCTCCTCCATGGAACAGGAAGTGACGCCCTTCCTTGGTTCTGATTGGTCAGAATTAGTTCCTGACAGGACGTACTATTCTCCACCTGCTTATGAGGTGAATATCCAAAGTTTTTGTGTTTTCTGGTTCACATTCGTGACATTCAGGCAGAGTTGGAGGTGTTGGACTCACACAGGCCGGCAGATCACCAGGTCTCCCTTGTTGGTGCCGTAGGCCAGACCCATGGCCGGGTCCGGCAGCCACCGGGCCGAGTTGATGCTGACGTGGCGTCTCTGGTCCGGAGCCATGGGGTAAACCACGTTGAAGACCATCTGGGAGGCAGAGAACCACAAACATCCTGAACTTCAGGAAATTTGGGTATAAAACTTTAATTCCCAAAGATTTAAACAAAGAAGGAGGTCTGATTTTTTTTTTTGCTCACTTTTTCTAATATAAAAAAAAAAAAAAAAAAAAAAAAAAAAAAAAAAAAAATTTTTTAAA